GTTCACGTGCTTGTTTGAAGTTTCATCAAGAGCAAGACGGCACACTCGACCCAAGATGAATGAAAACTGGACCCCTGGCCCCATGGAGTGTGTCCAACCACATGCCTAGCACCTGCCTCGCAAGTGCGCCTGACAGCCCACAGGGAGAGCTGAGTCTTCATACGAAGACACTAGTTGAGGAGATTCTAACCTTAATTTCTGAATTCGGCGAAACATAAAGTGTACCTCATAATTAAAGTGGATTAAAGTGTGATCGAGGGATGCTATGGGAGGCCGCAGATCACACGTATCAAAGCAGAGCGGCCCCCTGTTTCTGGGTACTCGTGGTCCTTTGGCTTGCAAATGCATGGCTGGCTGTCATGGTGGAGCCTCCAGCGTAAGGAAAGGCCCAACGCTCGGCAGTGGCGAACCAATTGCACTTCGGACATCTCCGCTGGCGTTTGCAGCCAGGAAAACCAAGTAGTCCTGAGGTCATGTCGGATGTTGGCAGCACTACGTCCCCGCCATTTCTACCGGATTGTTTCCGCAGAGAAGAACGCTCGAAGCTGAAACAAAAAGGCACTCTAGAACTGATCCCCTTCAACCCCAAGCCCGGTAGACAAGCTCCTGCACTTGCGCAGTATCTGCAGACTCGTCCCAAGAAACGATGCCACCGAGCTCGTCCAGGTCGAGATCCTGCATGGCATAACGTGCCTTGCTAAGAAGTTCTGCGAGCTTCAGGAAAGCGCGAGGGGAGGGGCTGCAGTGTGCATTCACTTTTCTCTGCGTACATGAGATGCTGCTGCAACCGCAAAGCCTGAGAAACAGGGCACTACGTGCAGTTCGTGGTCAGCAAAACAGGTGAATTTGTGGCTGCAACTTCCTGCATGCTAAAGCATGAAATATCCGTCCTTGTCCACGAAGGTGAGATTGCCCACGGAGGAATCGGTATCTGTGATCTGCAGTACTGAGGGCGTGGTCTGCTCGGCAAAGCGTGACCTGGCGGAGCTCCTAGATCAAGCTACATCGTGAGCAACAAGTCGGGGAACCGCATTTCCAAGAGAGCACAACTTGGCACCGTTGGCAAAGATCCAGTCAAGTCCAAGCAGTGGACCAGTACAAGCATCACCACCTGCCTTGCGTACACTGCCACGAAATGGAAAGCACCTTTGGGTGTGTCCTCGGAATGCGGCGGCGGCCCCAAGCCCGAGCCCGTGAGTCGGCTTCGGGACACGTCACTGAGGCACTCCAATGGCAAGACAGCCAAGGGACGGTTACGAGCGCCACGGTGTGCGTGCTTCCTGGTAAATGGGCCACCAGAGAACGGCCAGAGCCACTGGGAGACATGGCAAGGTACACGGACCTGAGTTGAAGAGGCTCACTCGCTAGAGAATTTCAGCATGCAGGATGCTTTTCGAGTTGAGATGTTGGATCATAGCCGTCTTGTACGTAGCAAAGTGTTTACTTGCGTGGGCAATTTGGGTTGACTGAAGATGGATGGATGGATGGATGGATCGATCAGAGCAACGATCGGTATACAAATAGGTGTGGTAGGCCGATGGACAGAAAATTCAAACGCTTGGAAGCTTCGTGGACACGTGCACTTCACGGGCCTGGATTGAACTGGGACCTGGCTGAGGACCAGGGCTGCCGATTCTTTTCTGGATCCCCTAAGTCCTCTGAAAATTGCTCGTAAAGTAAAAAATTATCTGGGAATCATAGGTCTTAGACCCAGCAGAAGAAACACTCAACATCGCAGTGGCCTACCTTAACCACTGCAGGCACGGTGCACATCTGTCGGCACGGTGCTGGCGGGGAGGTCCCAGGAGATCTCACCTCCCAGTTCCTGCCGAACGCAGCTTAGAGCTTGCGGCAGTGTTGCGTCGATTCGCCGATGATAGGCTTGAAGTGTGCAGCTAGCTTGTGGAAATGAAGCAGCAGTGACTGTACAGGGATGCATGGGGCTGGGTTGTTGTGTAAACGCATCGGGCTCGCGAGGAGATGCAGTGTCCAAAGACATGAATGAAAGTAGATCAGAGTTCAAGTTGGCACCGGTATGCTTCGAGCTCCTCTCAGCCACTGGGCTTCTCATTCTGACCCTGTCAGCTGAACATTCAAGTCCGCCTTTGCAGAAAAGGACATGGTCTTGCCCATCAAGCTGGAGCCTACAACTCATTGGCCCACGACTAACATGAAACGTCAGAAGAACTCAACCAGCCAACTTCTCCCGCTTGAGATGCAGCCTTCGCCAAGAAGAGACCCTTCCAAAATCACAAGTTACACACAGTTACACATGAAGTTTCTCCTGGTGATCCAGGTCGAAATCCACGAAACTCACATTCTGGATTGTCACTGAAACGTCCTCGGGCCACGATGCTTTGGACTACATCCGTCAGAGTCTGCGCATTTTCTACAAGGCTTCTCTCGATTGCTGGTGAAGGGAGCTCCCGTGCCCTACTGACACTGCAAGACCTGGCCCCTAAACATTGCAAAAAAAAACCTGACGGAGTCACAACAACTTCTTGTGCCGGGTAGACAGGAAATGCCGAACATGTTGGCATTGAACGACTCATCGACAATTGACTGAATGTGGCTTCAGCTTGGCGGCTTAGCCGTAAGATCAGACTTTCACCAGGGTAAGAGGTTGAAATTCGCCTGGCTCCACGTCTGTTCCTACTTCTATGACTAGGGCCGGGGCTGGTGACACTTGCAGCAGTCTTTATGCATGTCTGAGCACGGCACACCAAGAGACTGCGCGACCGGTGTGGTCTGCTCCGCGAGCGAGGAGAAAGTGTACACCTGACAAGTTGATTGGTGTATGAACATTCAGTCAGAGAATCAACACGAGGGGCAGGCAGTCTGGGGTGTTGGGCTTCAGTGTCTCGTGGAGTACGACTGCGACCACAGCAGGAAGTCCTGCGAATCTCCAACTGCGTGCTTGGGCTGGGACCAACAAAGCGCGAAATCCTTCCAAGGCCGTGTTGTCCTGCGGTCCAGTGAGACGCTGGAGTTGGCAAAACATCTCGAATCGACCAGGCTTGACATGACCTTTGGCCTAAAGTCCGAACACTCACCTCTGCGAAGCGATTTTCGAATTCGATGCCGAGGAGTTACAGTTGACGGCGTGGTCCTGTTCGGGACTATCAACAGATAAGTCTGATGGCGGACACCTATAGGGGAAACCCGAAGAAATGGCCACGGAGCCTCGCTAGGAGCCCAATGCGAAGCCATGAACCAACATCCTGTTCTGTCTTGCATCCTGAAGGTGCCGGTGCCTTTCCACTCCCGTGCGCCCTGCCCTCCCGTGACGATCCGGCACTTCGAGACCCGTGTCTGCAGCCGATTCCAGGAGGCCAATCTCGTGCCGGCCTGAACTTCAACTCAAAACTCAAGTGACACTTGAATGTTTTTCAGTTTCAAACACCTGGCCGTCACTACCGAAACACCGAGGACTGAAGCAGGGACGTAGCTGGGGACTCTCGCGAGCACCCGTGTGAATCCGTGTGATACTGGTTGGGCCTTGTCCCTGCGACGAGTTCGCGAGGTAGACCTGCCGACAGGTGTCTGCTCATCAACGCCATTCAACGAACAGAACCTGATTCAGGGATGAATCAAGATGAAGTGAACGGCGGAAAGCAGCTTGCACAAAACGATCGCTTACGTTTTGGAACTCGTGGAAGACAGGCGGACGATGTACATGGAATAAACTTCGGGTGCATCTTGCGGGATCTTGCGGGCTTGCCTCTTCGTGATCCGAACAGGTGTTCTCCCTTGGCCTTCGACCGATGTCAATCATCTTTCCATATCATGTGCATTTGCGACTGCAGCAGCCACAGTACTTGAACAAAAACATTGATTGGAGCTTGAAACGCTGGAAGATTCCAAAGTCGCAAGCGACTGCTGCGAAAACTTGGCTGTGTCTTTTGCAGCCATTGGGTAGGAACAAGGTGGTGGACCTCGAAAGCCCTCAATCAGTAAACAAGAGTGCTGAATCTGAGGCGAAGATGCAGTAAACAGCTTTCCACATCGACAGGCGCCGTTTTGGATTTGGTTAACCCAACCGCACGATCACAAACCTAGCACTTGGGGAAGTGCACTTCTGGTACTGGCACTGCCGCTTCCGACCAGCCCAACTACATCTGACGACTGACGATGTTCAAAGCGGCACCTTGTAGCCCCTGACATAGCGGCTGTCATTCGCTGGTGCCCATGAAGCGTTGCCACCTAGCTCGTCAGCATCCAGGTCCTTCCAGCCGAACTGCCGAAAACTCTCGTGGCTTTCCAGACTCATGCTAACACGTTGTCGTGCCAAAGGCCAAACTGCACAGCATCGAGCAAAATTGTCTGGTTGATTGCAGCTGGCACCGTTCCCTATGAGCTCCTCGTCGACGAAGGCGAGCTCCTCCACGGACGAGGAGACATCTTCAACCTTCAAGCAACAGCAAAGCTTAGGCCTGCAACGTATGCTTTTGAATTCGATTAAACACCGAAAATGGATCTTGAGTCCAAGCAAGACAGAATGGTAAAATGTGGTCTTGCTGCAGTGCTGCGTTGTACGGAAACGGTGGCACGACCGGAGACCGGGGGCCTCCACTGCATCGGGCGTTGTCTGCTCGACAAGCGCAGACTGCGTGAACACAACCTCAAAAGCAACGATGAAAAGGCGCACACTAGGGAGATCTAGGGAGTCACAGTCTTGCTTGCGTGCGGTTGTGTGTTTCTTGCGCTGTGGTACAAGCGATGAACTTGCAGCCTTTTACCTACAAGTAATGTCTTCGTCGCCTGCCGAAACATGCTTTGCTCTGATCAATCAGCCCATGAGGAACCGCACCAACAACCTGAAGCCGGAAACGAGAACCTTGAACACCGGACCTTGAGGAAACGTGCTTCCGGGACAGCTGCATAGCTTTGTCTCGACATTAAGCTCGTTTCCAGTACTCCAACCGAAACGCAAGACCGGCTTCGAAGGGTTCCTTGCAGCTCTCTAACAAACCTCCTAACTTGCAAGAGACAGGTCGGGCTCAGTCGTGACATGGCGCAAGGCTTGTGTACTGCTGGCGCGGCGTGTTGGGTGGCAAGACCTTGGCAGGCTTGGATTGGATTGATAAGGCACGCGGGTGTACGAGAAGGGAGGCAACATTTTCCATTCTGGCAGTCCTAGCGGAGGCATCTGGCGTGGACACTTGCTTTTTGGAAGATTTGCGAATGACTGCGAATGCTAGAGTACCGTGTGCCAACGCTGCTTAGGCGCGATAGAGTCAGCGGTGGCCGGCAGCGGACCATTGATCTGCGATCGATTTGTGCCCAAGCCGTCTGTGAGGTAGACATTGTAGTTTTCGACCTTTCCGAAGCGACAAAAGATGTCCGAAGAGGGAGCGCTTCGAGGTTCCCCCGGCAGCTTGTGCCGGCGAGTTGAAGAATTGAGACGGGCATTGCAGCCTGGGCCCAGCCTGAGCCATGTTGTATGGCAAAATCCACGAGACGAGGCCACCGAGCTCTTCGGAGTCAAGGTCGAGATCGGTGAAAGATGTGCCTGACAAACGGTCAGCTTGAGTAAGTTTGCATACACGCAACCCACTCTTTTCAATATTGGCTTCCGAGACTTGGGTCAGCTGCACACAGGGTGCAACAAAGTCGAGGCTAAATTCGCCACACTACTGCTGCGTTTCCCTTCAGTCGCTACTGCACAGCACCGTTATTTGGGTTACTTTGGCACAGCTGGACCAAGGACAAGTCCAGGATAAGGCTTGGGAGTTGCCAGGAGATTAGACCGCCAAGCAGAAGCTGCTTGTTGTTTCACAGGCCTGAAACGCTGGCGTTGACGTCTGTCAATTCGATGATCGCAGGGGTTGTCTGCTCAAACAGACTGGATCGAGCATACCTGGCAGTTTGCCACCGATTTTGGGCAGAGCAGCATGCAACGGCAGAACTGCATAGGGGAGCTTTTCATCACTAGTTGTTGCTTTAATTTCCGGCATCGGGCTTTCGAATCACCGCCGTCACTAATACTATAACGGCTCTATGGCTGAGCCAGCTCAGTGGAACCGAGAACCGACCAACAAGGACCTGGGACCTAGGCATACATGCCACGTGGCCGAGTTGCAGGAGCAGGTGTGAGAAGTTCTGGACTGATAGTTCTGGAGAAACGTCAAGCGACCACGTGCCCAGCTGGACCTCAGATCGAAAGAAGATGCCCCCCGCAGATCGCTTAGGCCAGGTCTCAAAAGCGGAAACTTGCATGCACGTATGCTTGTCTGAACCACAGACAGATACTAGTTACAACAGGTAGATGATGGTAGATGCATGCATGGACCAGTTAATGATTCTCTCTGTCTCTCTCACACACACACATGCACCCACACACGCACCACGCTTGCACAAACGCACGCACGCACACACGACGCTGTGCTTGCCAGAGTACTGTGCCCAGTGCAAAGCGATACCCACGCCCATCCTTCCAGTGAGCAATCGCTTCTTCGCACGAAACAACTGCTTCGATGATCAAGAAACGCTGGCTGTAAACCCGATGCCCCCAAATCCCGCACGAAGCACAGGTGGATCAACTCCTCGCTGCAAAAGGTGCCATCCCCATGCAGCACAAAGCATTCCGCCTCCGAGTCTGCACCATAAGCAGCAAATATCACCACCTGGCCCCGGTAAATGTGAAAGCCCAGGATTTCCCAGGGCGGTGCAGGGTTTCGGATTTGCTGTGAAAAGTTTCGCCAATTTACTAGGTTGTCTCAAGGAAAAGTTGATGTTCAGCGGTTTGGAATGGTACCCGCAGCTGAAGATAACTGCAGCATTCTGGGTGGGAGAATACTTACAGGCAGACACAGAACGTCGGGGAGGCCGACAAAGCCAGTCTCAATGTAAGCCCATTAGACACTCTCCGACGGTCGTGAAAACAGCCGTCTACGAGCAACTGAAAAAACCGAACTCTGCTGCAAGGTCGAGATGCCTGCGATGTATCGCCTGATGCAACATCGAAGGCAATCTTACCTCCAAGTTCTCCTTCATCCAGGTCCTGTCTGGCAGGGTGTCCCGCCGAGCTTTCAGCTTGTTGTTTCGCGTCTCTTAAATTGATACTGCCAGTAGTAAGATAGTAAGAAGTATACTCATCGCAAAACTTTAGTGGGGTTGCTGACGGGTTATGTTCAACTCGTGGAGCTTTCACGGTGAAATCCGACTGCAAGGGATCTGTGCGATCCTTCAAACAGAAGGTCGTGCTGAATCGAGATTACACGCCAGAACTTTGGACGTAAGTCTTAAGCGCCGCTTCATCTGCGCTTGATTTCCTCAAGCGGAATCCGCCACTCACCGTGTGGTGAGCCTACGATGTGGTTACCGTGAGCACAGAAAGCTATTCGCACCTCGTCTGTGAAATTCACGGTCAGGACCGTGCTGGCATCGCTCACCACCTCTGGCCGTAGATATGCTACGTAGATTTTGCACTGGCAAAGACAGAAGCAGAGGCAGAATCGGGACACACACACACACACACGCGCTCAGTAGTGACTTGTAAACAGCGACGACCTTCCTCTAACGACCCCCAGTGCATCCGAAAGCTTGGAATAACTGTAACTAAACGGCAGCACTAGTAATTACCTCTAGAAACGGGAACCGAGCAAGGTCGAACATGTTGACGTGAATGGACGGATCGCCGGCTATGCAAGAAAGCTTTGAAACAAATGCATGGCATAATCCTTGAGGGGAAAGTGATAAAACAAATCCGAACATCATTAATATGTCATCATCAGAAGAAAGCACTTGACCCAGCTTTGCGAACGACGATTCAGACACGGGGCTTATAAGTCGTAGTTCTTTGCAGACCAGAAAGTGCAGAACTCTGCACAAAAGAGTGCTCGACGAACTTGAGGCTGGCTTTTCAAGGCCCTGCTACACTCACCTGTGTTCTGCGAGATCCAGCGCTCTGCGCTGCTTGAAAGAAAACAAGAAGGAGCGGAAATCAGGGCTGCCCGTTCCAGGCATCAGAACGAAAGGGACTGCAATTGGGCATCCTGACACTACCTCCTCAGGCCTTTATCATCTCAACTCCTGGTTGGTTGAACAGCGGGACGAGATCGCATTTGCCAGGGTTGATCCTTTGATCTCTGGCGTTCCTGTTTGCATGCTTTTCTTCAGTAAGTCGTGGTGCTGGTCCGACGAGGTGTTTGCCTGTCCTCACAGGACAGCATGAGCTCTCACTGCAGCCACACTGCTGTTCGGGATGCACCAACGTGCATCCCATTTGCACCAACAACTATCATTTATCCACACAAACAAAAATGTCAGCACCTTTCGCTGACACAACACTACCAAGGCTGCCAAGGAGTACAATGACAAGTTAAGCCTTGCACTAGCTCAGCAGTACTGGAAAGTAGCACTTGTGTGCCCCGTGTCACTGCATGTCCGTGCCTGAATCGCCGGCGTGGTCTGCTCTGCAAAGGTGGAGCGCGTGTAGACCTCAACGCCCCCGAATACGTCGTTTCACTGCGGATGCTGTCGGTGTCCAGGCTTCGCAGCTTCGTAGCTTCAACTCACCTCTGGTCAACTACTGTGCCCCAACAACTCTGTTGAAAAGGACGTGTGGCCCAGATCTGGTCGAATGTGGCCAGGGAAGTGTCTTCGAGCACATCGGCCTTCAATCATCGACCAATTGTTGCAGCTTTCTGCTTCAGGATGGAAGCGTCGGGGTGGTTCTGACGAGAAGCTTGTTCCCGAGTTGGCTCTCGAAGATCGATCTGGGCTTTGGGAATGGAACATGCAGAATCCTGGACTCGGTTTGCAAACAGACGGTTCCACTGCCCTGTTGTGGCCGCACAAGCATGCTCTGACCCAGGCAGGAAAGCAGAGAGTGAACTGGAATGTTACGACGACCTGCCACAAACATTACATCTTATTGTAAGAGGGGCCATCTGACCCGCGGCCCGATAACGCGAATTGCTTTGCCAGCACGTCTTCAACATGCCCGAACCGCATAAGAGCGGGGTCAGCCTGTCGCACAGTAGCTGGACTGGCTGCCGCGACGCTGAGTCCGAGTGAGCTCCTGCGGCATTGCGAGCGGGGTGTAAACTCAAATTCGATCTGCCGACACAGACTGCAGCCTAGACCTGAACCAGACCTGGCCTCTGCCTAGTGTCGTTCAGGCCCAGGTAGAGCAGGTAGTCCTTCAAGGTCTCATGGCTTCAATACGCGCGCAGCTTAGACGCGATGAGAGGCGGAGCGTCACAGTGTGCTAGAGGGGGAGGATGCTACCACTTTACTTGCCGGAACCTCATGCTCTCAACGCCCTGATTGCTCCTGAACTTGTGATGTCTCCATAGGCTCGGCCCACGAAACGGTGCCTCCGATCTCGCCGGCTTCGAGATCCTGCGGGCCGGAACATGCGGTAGAGCTGCGTTGTGCAGAGCAGTGATAGGCACAGCCGCTGGCTCGAAGGCTCGAAGCCAATACTGAGACCCCGCGAGTCGGAAACAACCGCAATCCTTGCTTACGTAGATCGCTGGGGCTGAGACGGCAAGACAGGTAACTGGCACACGGCTGGTTGGGCAGTCAAACAAGCGGCCAGGAGGCAAGAGGGGCGCGCACGCAGACATCCACAGAGAGGTAAGAAGTTATTAGCCATGTGAGCCTGGAAGGCTGGCAAGTTAGACCTGCATGTGCCAAGGGTTCAGCACAGATCAATGTTCTGCTCGCATTATTGCGAGCAAGGCATCCCAGCTGGTAGCAGCTTCATCGCCGGGCTTACAAAGGCATCAGATCCGCGAGTGCTCTTCGTGAAGGATCTCCAAACCAACACGTGCAAGACTTCGAGGAGTCTTTCAATGTACCTCATTCACCCAAGAACCTGAATTCCGGATCTCCTTGTCTATGAAGCTGATGTTCTCTGCCGTCGAATCGGTGTCAATGATTTGCAAGGAACTCGGTGTGGTCTGCTCGGAGGACACTGACCTGCTCATAGCTTTCCGGGCAAATAGATCTGGGATGATCTGTGCATTGGCATCTCTATCGCTGGGCTGGCAACAATGCCGATCTCAACGAACGAACAACAGTCTGTCATCAGTGAGACAAGCCTGCCGTGAACCGTTGTACACTAACCTTGACACAGGACCGTCCACACCGTCTTCGTCAACTCTGGCCTCGTGTACACGACCAAGTAGTTGAAAGACCCCTTCGGCGTGTCGGCAGGCAGTGTGAAGTTCCTCGGACTTCATTCAGGCTGACTAACAACTACTGTATATAGGTGCAACACCCCCACCAGGCAGTACCTGCACCTTTGACGAGAAGCGAGATGCATGCAAGCCAGGCGGTATTTCAACAGATGTGGTAAACTCTAGTACCTCTAGTAGTTGGAATCCCCGTGGGTCGCAGGAGCCCGGAAGCACCAGAAACCCTGCATCTTTCGGGCCCGCGACACGACCTCACCAGGAACTTGCCCCACGAAGAAGCGTCCAGAGCCGGCACGGTTGAGGGCCAAGTACAAGAGCCTGGAAACATCCGGTTATTCGTTCGCACCATGCCAGCTCGTGGGAGTTCAGGACTCTGAAGTTTCAGGAGACTTACGTGCTTTGTCGTGTCCCACCCACCACTTCACTCCCATGGTTGGATCAGTTCAAGCACCAGAGGTCCGGCTTGGCGGACATCAAAATTTGGCTCGAGTTAGCTTTGCCATGGGCCAGTCCGTGCGGATAAGGGCGTTACATGGTCACATGCCGAGCACTCTTCACGATGGACAGAAAGCAGCAAAATGGCGGTCACGGCAGGCCAGCATGCTATTGCCAAGGCGCACATCGACAGACACAGGCAGCACTGGAAGTGTCCACGAGACCTCGCCACCCAGCTCCTGCACTACAAAGATGCAAGAGATGCAGCCCGAGGCCAAATCATCCGGAGCAATGCCTGGACAGACATCGCAATATGAATCCTCCTACAGATGATGAAAGCTCCTCGAAGTCTAAGTCCAGGTCGGTGAACTGCAGGCCCTCAACAGCAGAAGAGATGTCCTGTGCAAAAAAGTGCAAATCGAGAATTTATCACCAGAGCTAGATTTCGGAGGTCGGCAGATTCTTAAGGTCGTGTGATGGGGCCCCGATGTGAGACCGAATCCTCGTGAGGAGTAACCAAACTACCGTAAACCGCAGGCGATGTGAAATTCTTGACAGGAGGCGCTAATTGCAGTGGCCGCCGGTGTTGTTTGCTCTGCGAGCGAGGAGGCCGTGTAAACCTCGTCGAGAACTGAGCGGAGTCCGACTTCAGGAAGTTCATAGACAACGTAGCACGAACTGCAGCGATGTCACTGTCGCAATGCTACATTCCGGGCCCCAGGCCAAGGCGAATCGGAAGCTCTCCAAGGCTGTGTCCTGTGAGATTTCTTTGCTGGTAAATGCCTTGGCTGAAATCGGGGAAGTTCAGTTACCCAGTTCGCACTACAGACCAGCGTGGTTCGGAGCACTCTTGTGGAGCGATCTCAGACTTGTGCAAGTGCAAGTAGCTTCGCTCCGGAAGCGAAGATCCTTCAGACGAGAGGCCGTCGAGAGAGGTGCACCGATCTCTGAACGTTCGCGGCCATCAGAGAAGTTCGCAAAATACACCTGCGACACAGGAGCTGTTTTGACCAGGGCCGACGAGATCGATATCCGAACGGTTGATTGCAGGACCCCTTACTCGGAGTGGCTGCAATTGGGCTCAAACCAGTCCAGGCTTTACGCGCACGGTTCTCAATGTGAGACACCCTGCACTTATTGTGCGCATGGGTCAATGATTAAGGATAAACCTTCACAAGGTAGAGTTCGCAGGCCGTTCAAGTGCGGCACATTTGCATGTGACGAAGGCAACACGGAAATGTCTTTAGTGAGCGAGATCTTGAACAACATAGGACTGGCCTGGTAGCTCGATACATAGCGGTCGTCCACTGGGGCTGTCCACGTCACGTTACCCGCCAGCTCTCCAGCGTCGAAGTCCTCGGGCGCAGTGGCATCAGTTTCGGACGTCGATCTGCGTATATGCATGCTGCCCGCTGCTGCCCGCATGCACCGTATGCTTGCACATTTGCAACCGCCTTTGCTGTGCATATACAGGTTGGTGAGGAAATCATCATGCTCCACCGCCGTCCACTTTGCCGAACCCTGTTTCAACTGCTGCTCCTGGTCCTCGAACTTCAGGTCCTGCCGAGGTGGATGGCTTGGCTGGACGGTCTCTGCATGGGATTCTGCTCTACAAACGCAATTTAGACCCTGTGTGATCATTGTGGTAAGGAAGTGATCACTCCTCTCAGGTCTCAACCGTCTGTGCGATTCTGCTGGGCGCGGCTTCCATCATCTAAGCAACATCTTCGTCCTGAACAGTAGACTGGGAATCGTCGAGGGTAGCCAAGTCCGGCGTGCTTTGCTCCACGAGGACCGATCTGGTGTACACTGCCTAAGAAAGGCATTGAGCATGGAAGTTGGTGAAGAGCTTGTCGGAAGCTAAGATCTACCCAAACCCGAAACTGCTTGAAGCGCAGTAGCCAGAGTCGTGTAGGTCTGCCTTTCTGTATCAGGCGGCATCGCCTCGCATCACACAAAGAAGATTCAGATCCTGTGGCAGTTCTGCAAACAACGAGCAGACAGACATACCTGTACCAACGAGAGGCAAACCTCAAACACCGACATGGAAGTACAGCTTCCCTTCGCTTGGCACTTCTTTCGCTTGCTCCGGCCAAGACACTAACAAGCTCGTGGAAGGACTGAGGAGCCCGTTGAGCTGCGACCGGTTCTCTGCAGCAGGACTCGCGAGGTAGACAGCGTAGCTCGCAACCTGAAGACAGAAACTGAAGCCAAAGGCTCCGGAATGCGGATCTGATTTTCGACAGGAATCAGATGTTCAAAATATCGGGTGTCTTCTTTGGTCTGCCCTTCTTGGGCTCTGTGTGTCCTCAGGAAAGCTGCCTGCACGTTCTGGAATCAGCGGCACATGCGCAAAGACATTAGAACGGCCATGCACGACACGTCGGTCTTACCACCTCAACTCTGTGTTATCCAACTGTTATCCGATCAACAAGCGCTTTGGTTGTTCGCTTGCCTCGTCCAGAGAACTCGGCACGGTCCACGTGATGTCACCACCAAGCTGGTCTCGATCCAGATCGAGGTCTGCAAACGAAGTGCCTCAACCAAGTGCAAGTTGTCATTAGTTCGGCAGGTTTTGCAATGTCAAGGAGAGCCTGCAGAAGTTCACTTAGCAGATCTGCATCCCCGTCCCAAATCAAACTCTCCATGCACGAAGAGGCTCAAGCCTTAAGCATGCTTAAGCCTTGAGCTTGAGTGTTGGCCCTACAGTGTGGGACCCGGAGCCCTCTCCCCCCTCCACTACACGATCTGGAAGATCCGAGCCCTTGTACTGGAATGCTCATGGAGCTACGGAGATCCGTAACGAAGCTGTAACAGGTGTAATGCAGGGTTAGAGAAGCCGTAGTGGAGGTGTAACGGAGCTGTAACGGAGGCTCTGGCTGGCCTGTCTGGAATGTGTAACGCGCACACGCACTGAACCTCTTACAGGATGTCGGATCCTGATCATTAAACTCCATATAGCAGAACAGGGTAGAGTTAAAACTCGACCCTAAGCCTCTTGTAACCTGAAGCTCCGGCTCCATGACATCCCAGGCGCCTGAGACGCTTGCGTTGACGTCTACCAGGGCCGTTGCTGCAGGTGTCGTCTGCTCGAAGAGGCTGGATCTGGCATACCTCCCCACCGTTGTAAGGGTCGGGCGCGCGCCAGGTACGTGTTAAGCAACGTTAGAAACTTCACCCGAAGCTCCTTACCCGGCAAGTTGACGGATCAGGCAAAAAATACGGCCCAAGAATCACGAGCCCTCCAGATACAGGCGGATCTTACTTGGACCTTCGCACAGCACCAGCAGTGTGGCATTGTGATGGTCAGGCATGGACAAGCCAACCGAAGTGCATCCCCAAGCAGAGTCTCTGCAAAATACACTGCAAAGCTGACAAGACAGCTCACCTGCAGCCATTACAGTTGCAGCAAAGGTGCACGAGCAAGTGTGCGAAGTTTTGTGCTGAAAGTTCAGGCCTGGAAACGGACCACACAGCTGCCATGCCGTCCACGACTGCATTCCGAAACGAAAGAACTACATAGCTCAACCCATCCTGGGGCAGAGGGACCGTTCTCTAGGTGCTTCCCGACACTTCAATCTCAGCGAGTTGTGTGAGTCAAGTTGGCCTGGGCAAGTCAGCCATGTTGAGTTAGCCGAATAGTGAGTAAGCATGACTCATGGTAGAAAGCGGCGCTTATGGAGACTTCGTGAGTTCTTGATGTTTACTAAACTTGCT